CAACTTTGCTGCCGGTTGAGGTAAAGCATGATCGCGCCACGTCGCAAGAGAAAATATAGCAGTCATAAGTTCCTGACACTATGGTCATTTCAGTTCCTTTTTTGATGAGCGCCACGTTGACTCTATTGAAGTTTGAGCCGGCAAAGGGTACAGTTTATTGATACACAGGCATACTTCATCTTGGTCTTGATATGTATGTGGGGTGCCTGCAACGGGTATAGAGAAAGTGAGGCGTAAGGACGAAGTCTCTGGTTTTGAATTGAGCGGGCCCGGCCTCGAGAAGCGCGGCAGGTAACTCTTTTCTTCTCCATCAAGGAAGTAGCTTGTCAATGCGCTCCTCGGGGGCGGAATGGTCAACATGGTGTAACACCCACCACTTACACCAATCATCGGGGGCTCTTGGAAGTTGCACGCATTAACTACATCGAGCAACCCCATTGCTTTAGTCTACAGCCCCAAGTTTCCTGGGGAGGCCGGCATCCGTCGCAATGTCTTCATTTTGACGGCGTCGGCATAACTATACTTCGGACCAGTTCAGCTTCCCATAGTATTATTTGAATTAACTCAACACTCGATATATCAAGATGGTACTCTCAAGCCGGGATTCTCCATGGCTCTCGTGGGCACTGGAAGACCAACAGAAGCGGTGTCCACCGGGTGACTTCTTACATGACCCTGCCCGTAACAACCTCATTAAGCGCCACAACGCTATTGTTGTATGCGGTCACGTCGCGGAAATACAACACGTCTCCCGGCGTCTCGTACGTGCCCTCCCCGTCCAGCCCGCTGAGCGTGAACACCTGGTGCGTCCGCCCGATCCCCGATGTGACCGTGCTGTCTGCGTACCGGGAATAGTTCGCCGTGCCGTTCCTGTCCGTGTCGATCACGCTGGCGGCCCACTCCGCCCCGTCCCTCTGGAAGGCCTCAAGGCCCGTCGGGTAGACGGTGTTTCCTTTGACGTGCAGCTTCAGGCCCTGGTCGAGCTGCGCCCAGAGCGTCAGGTTGCCCTCGGGCAGGTACGAGGTCGTGGTGTTGCAGTACAAGGGGTACGAGAAAGTCGTCTCGTAATCCCACCCGGGGCTGCCGGACGCTTCTCGGCCGGTCGTCGAGAATGTGTTGATGCCGCCGTAACCGTTGGCGTACAGGCCGCCCACGTTCGAGTACGACAGGCTCTGGCTCCACGTTGCCGTGCCGTTGCCCCTTTGGGTGCTCACCTGCGACGTGACGGAAAAGTCCCTCTTCACCGCGATGGCGTACTCCAGCGTCGTGTTGAACCCCGTCGCGTTCTGCTTGAGGGTCTGGGAGAACTCGATGGTCGGGTTCTGGTTTGCCGTGGGCCCGACGACGCCCGTCGTCACGCTGTCTTGGTCGTCGAGCCACAGAAACACCTTGCCGACGAGGTACCAGCTGCTTTCAGTCGTGTTCGACAGGCTCGCGCTCGCCTTTCCGTCGTCGACGAGCCCGACCACCCGGATGCCGATGGTGTGGCTGTTGCCGTCGCACAGGAGCGGCAGCCACGGGCTGATGTCGATCTCGTGGTCGCGCAGGTCGAACGCGTCGATGCCCACGATCGGCCGGTGCAGCTGCGGGACGACGCCGCCGGTGAAGATTACGGGGAACGGCCAGTGCACGCCGGCAAGCTGCCCGTCGACCAGGACCTGAACCTCCCGGAAGGGGGAGTATCCCGGGTAGGCGCCGACGTCGGGCTCAAAGGCGTCGACGGCGGACTGCGGCACGTTGCTCCACCAGAACTCCTCGCTGCCCTGGCCCTTGACGGACGAGGAGAAGACGGCCCGGTTCACGTTGCGAGGGAACCGGAGGGAGGCGGAGGCGTTCTCCTCGGGGTAAGTCCAGAAGCTGCCGGTCACGGGGCTCTTCTGCGCGGAGACGGGGAGGATGAGGTCGGCGGGCGCCTGGCCCCCGCTCTGGACGGGGCTGTTGAAGAAGGTTGCCGTGAGCGTGGAGTTTAGGAGCCCCGTGTAGACGTCCGTGATGACGTTGTCGAGCTGGAAGATGAGGGTCTGCGGCTGCTTCCAGAGCGACAGGTAGGGCGTCGAGTCCTTTAGCCAGGTCCAAGTGATGCCGTTGGCCGTGGGCTCGGCGGTGGAGGTGGCGAAGATGTTGACGTCGCCCAGGAACACGCTGCCCCAGCGGTCAAACTGCCTGCCCTTGACCTCCACGGTGAAGTTGATCACGACGTGGTCGAACTCCGAGTCCGGCGGCGTGTAGCTCCCGACGAACGGGGTCCCGTAGCTGTTGGCGAACTGGTGTTCCATCAAAGTCACAGTGACCGCCTCCTTGGCAGCCGAGCCGGACGGGAGGAGCACGGGCTCGGCCACCTGGAACGTCTCCAGAAGCGGCATTCGCGACGAGGAAGCGCCGGCCGCAGTCTCCATGTCGTATGCGAGCCGTCCCGTGTGCGCCAAGAGATGCTCCTTGCCGGAGCTCCGCACGTCGAGATTCCTGTACTGCGCGGCATGCTGGGCTTGAAGCTGCCCGGCACACACAGAGGTCACCAGGGCTCCGACCGCAAAGGCGGCCATCCACGCCCGCCCACCTGAGCGCCTGGTGCTCGTGGAAGGCATTGCTGCTCGGTGCAAATTATAAGAAGGCGATGCCCACGATACCGGACTGTACCACGTGGAAAGCAGCGGACGGGAAGTGGGACGGATGCGGGTTTTAAGGTGGCGCGGGGGACAGCCGCTCTGGGACATTCCAGCACAGGGAGTGCTGCAGTTCCGGTGGGCCAGAGCACCTAATGCGGCAGGTGACAGTGGGTGTGATGGGATCGTCATAGCGTCATGACATGGGCCGTGAATGATAAGACGAAGTAGCCGAATGTTGAGGCCGTTGCCAAACATTGATACGGTAAGTCCAATGAGCTTTTGAGACGGTAATCGGGCGATAGGGGCATCAAAGTAATGTTAAGATTCCTGTGCAAGATGTATTTATTGGACGTTGAAGAGCGAAGTCTGAAGAAGAACATGGCGTAAATCGGCATCTGTTTCCCAAGTCATGGAGGAAATTCACAATCAGAAACAGCACGACACTTTTCAGCTTCATACACCCACCCCTAAAGCAGAAGGCAAACTACTAACTAACATAGGCTGGAAATAAGTGAACAAATGCCTGCTTTTAAGTACTATATAGAGAATAGCTTATATAGTTTTTTATTAAGTAGTAGAACTATATAAACAGGACTTAAGTAGGATTACAAAGGCCATCAAAAGGACCAAAAGCAAAAAAAGTACTCTAGTTAGGCAGTGTTTATGTGTCCAGAGAGGCGGCATGTAAAATAGATACACATAGGCAAAACACTGCGCCGAGGGGGAATCGAACCCCCGGCTCCCCGACGCTGCTTGATGGCAACGGAGAATTTTACCACTAAACCATCGGCGCTGATGGTCCTGAACCTGAATAGCGTGGCAGACGAATTCCTCGTCCATAATGCGGAAGTGCTTCTAACCGTTCAGTCAAGGGGTATCTCGACTTCACAAACATAGTTCAAGATAGGGTAAGAAGAACGTGACATCGGTTTTTCAAACAACGCCGTAATATACAATGGCTGCATCTGTAGATTGGCATTAAAAAGGGTCCTTGCAACTGGCTGAGATGATGTATTCTGCTGCTGGGGGTGTGGATGGTGTTACGTGTATTTTGTTGTTGAAACTGCTCTGAGCTCTGCGCATTGTTCCTGTCCACCTGATAGAACGTGGATTTGGCCCAGTAATCCTGGTAAGTAATGTTTTTCATGCATAGATGAACGGGACTTCGCAATCGTCTCTGGCGAGGGTCTCGGCGATAGACAGAGCATCGAGAATATTGATCATGGCATTGACGATGCCAAGAACCTATTGATTCTTATGGAAGATGCCGTTCCCTCCACTGAAGATAGACATTCTGATAGCCGGGGCCCACAGAGCTGACTCGTTGGTTGAACCCTCGCTCTTGCTCTCTAACACAGCAGTCAAATACCTTAATGGGAGACAGGGAGATAGAGACTAGTAGGCCTAGTTAGTCTTGCAAACAAACGCTTAAACTACTCTGAGGCGCAAACGAATCCTTTGCCAGCCGCCTCACTCACGTCACTAGTAAACTCGAAGCTGTAAAACTAAGCTTTAGGGCGTCTAAGCTGAGCCTGGCAGCGCTCGAACTTGGTCCTTTTGAAAGGTCAACAAATGACGAGCTTTCAGGCATGTCCTGGAACGGCCAAGTCTCAAGATAAATGGCGGTCTGATTCTTTCATGCTTGTGTAGTAAATCTGTCGGTAATGTCGGCAAAAAGGGTCATCTCCTTGGCGATGGTTACCATTCCAAGACTCAAAAGACCGGGAAGTAGATAGTATATCTTGTGTGTGCTGCAAACAAGCTGCATGTTCACATCAGGGTCAGGATCAGCGGCTTTGACAATCGGGGTTGGCCTCGAGGGTCACATTCTACAAGAGCTAGATCTCAAACCTCACGACAATGAGATCATTTCATAAGACATATTAGCCTCTTGACGCGTCTGTCGGCTGGAAAGACACTAGTAGTGGAGGGTTCTTGTTGCCCAGACACGGTGACGCGGGCCCGGGCTGTCTCTCTCAAGTAATCTTTATTCCTTTTTACTAGACTCTGAGTTGTCTGTCTTCATTAGAGCTGTCTTTATGAGAGAAGTCTATTTAGTATACGCCAGGTTGACTGCCATGTGCTTGGGCTCCCTCGTTAAAGGCATTAGACATAAGTCCTTAGGATAATTACGTCTAACCAGGGGAACATTTCTAGTAGCAGTATCTCATAAATAGCAGCTATTGATAAAAGGATTATAGCTGGCATACTCATCAATAGATATGAGAACAAACTACATCCCTATCTTGAGACAGAGAGTTTAGCCTAACAGTGGGCTTCACGGCTGAATGTTACAAACAAAAAGATAAAAGGATGGACGATCAGGAAATCGAACCCTGGACCTACCGCATGCTAAGCGGTCATTATACCACTAAACCAATCGCCCATACGCTGTGATCCAGCCCGGACTTGAACCGGAGACCTTCAGTGAACAGGAGTGAGGGCATCGTGAGATGCCCTCAAGCTGTTAGACTGACGTGATAACCAACTACACCACCAGACCGTTTGTTGTCATCAGATGCCTGCTTCAACGCATATGCTTGCAAGCTCCCTTTCGCGCCAATTTCCGCGCTGTCGGCCCCGCCGTTAGCATAGAATCTTGCCCCTCTTTCACAATCCGTTCTACTAGCAAGAATAAGTAAAGCTAACATGACACGCGGGGTGGTGCTAAAGACTGTGACAAGAGTTTTCACGCGAACCACCGTCTCGTTTGGACCAACCCCACTATGGCCTCCTTCATCAGCAAATAGGGGGGGGAAATTGGCGGGGGCTATCTTAGGGTTACATAGTACAATTATGGGGCCTACATACAAACCGACCCTACATAACTAAGCCAACCAAATATCGTACTGCGGCTGGAGCAAGCAACTAACTTGGTGACCAGTCTTAGTCGGTTGTTCTTGAATTTAACGCGGCGACGATTATGTTGAAGGTTGTTGTGCTGGGGATCGTTGGCTGAAGCATGACTGTCAGGATCTAGGGCATGTACGGATAATTATGGGCCGAGCCCACGAGACCAGCTTTGACTGGCTGCGCTCATGTCCATGGCAATAAGGCAATGTTTTACTTTTTTTGTCTTGTACGACATATAAAATACCTCAATCTCACTGCTGTTCGCTCGTTCGTACGGATACCCTGTGATGCTAACACTGATATCTAACGCAATAAGTGTAATGAGCCCCTACACCCCCGTCCCACGTCCCAGTAGTGCAGGACTTATGCTAGATTAGGTCGCCTGCCCTCACAACAGCACTGCATCTACTAATCACAGAGAAGAAAGGACACCACAAGTGTTTTACTAGCGTTGGGAAAGCAAGCCCAAATGGTGTTGATGCCGTACAACGCAAGAACAAGGCGAGGCCAACAGTTATCAGCAAGATTAGTGTGTTTGGGAAAGAGACGCAACCTTCACCGCGTGTAATTCCTGGTCGAATAGTCGGTTTGGGAATTAGAGCTGCTTGCTCGAGTTGGCTGCGGTTAATTGATCAAGGTATCAGGAACGGGTTACTCAGGGTACCATCAGCTGTCAGAGATTGGCTTCCATGTTTAAACTCGCTGTCCCTTCCTGAAAGTTGACTTTTCAGCCTAGTAACTTCAGTAAGCGACAGGCCATGAAAGTGAAAGAAATACAATTCCCCGGCGGTATAATTCTCTTCGTGACGGCCACAGCTGGATTTGGCCTAAATTTACACTCTTGAGCGGAAGCTCAAAGCACTCCAACTATCACTAACTACAGGCCTTCTGTAGACTTAGACGCCTTCGTAACGTGTTAGCGATCATTAGTACTCTACTGAAACCTGCTCTTGCTCCTTGCATGTCATGATTAAACGGAAATGCGGGCAGGAATACTGTCACGTAACAAAACGATACCGTTAGTTACGTGGGCAGTAATAGTGGCTTATATATCGTGACACACCCCCCAGATTTGACCTAACAAGTCAGATCTGACACACTTGTGGAAACCTAGTTGGGTACATCTCGCCAATCATAGGTGGTGTAGATCAAACAGACTTTTCAGGATTTTTAGACCAAGGGACCCTAATGGGAATCGAACCCATGGTGCTTAAGATACATGACTAAGCTAGTTACTGCGCTTGATTGGCACAGATACCATTGTGGCATCTAGCAGGTAGGAGCTGGGCTCATAACTGTCACGTAACAAAACGATACCGTTAGTTACGTGGGCAGTAATAGTGGCTTATATATCGTGACAAATACTATCTCAAGCGAGGGGTTTGTAGGCAATGACATCAAATGAAATACCTGTTGATGAAGTCCTCTGCTGTCATCAATCCAATGTGACCAGGAATGGAGTTATAGTAAGTGATCTGGCCACTGGAGGCGTACCGATGCAGCGCCCAATGCGCTCTGTAGAACCATGGAATAAGGTCATTTGACTATTCAATAGGGTCCTTGTGGTACCAGAGGAACAGTCAGAAATCTCGACGTCTTAAGAGATGTAATCAGCTGATGGCGACCTCAAACTAGATATCACGGCCGACGAGCATCTGTAGTGCCTAAGCTCAAATTTACCCAGCAAAACTATTAATAGAGACCATTTCGATAGATGCAGCTAGTGCACAAGCACAAGAATCTCAACGAGAGGGTCGCTGTCATTGATGGCACCAAGTGAAAAGTATATTTTGATTCACTACAAGTGATTCAGTCTAGGTAAGTCGCCTGTGTTCCTAGGTGCTATTCCTAAAAAGATAAATATTAATCACTTAGAAGAAAACAGTAAACTCCCACTAGACCCTCTCCCTATAGCATCTCTGCATACATGTAGCATTACATGCTTAGTATACAGTTATAGGCTTAGAGTAAGTGGCATCTTGAGGGGCGGAGTGAATGGTTGCCTACTCAGTGAGGATAAATTTTGGCCGTCCCCAGCAACATCCCCGATAGTCTAGTGGTGAGGATATCTGCTTGTCACTGCAACCACAGCAACTCGCAGGGGACCGGGGTTCAATTCCCCGTCGAGGAGATTTTTCCGCATTTTGTTGGAGCCATGCTTTTTTGGTCGTTTAATGTGCTTCAATTAGGTCCTGCTAGACTAAACTCCAAATCACTAAAGAATATTCCTAAACAAAACTCAGACTGCTGCTATAGGATATATACACGCTTACTAACAACACACTCCTTATTGTAGATACGTCATAGCAGCCAGGGAGATCTGAACCACGTAGCAGTATCTTGTCAAGTCAGGATGTGACTTCCGCCATTTGCAACCACTACGTAGTTGGGCTTCCTTCCTCCCTTACCCTTTTCTCTGGCTTCTTGCTCGAGACCCTGCTCCAAGGTCGTACGCCCGTACTGCATAATATAAGATAAAGCCCCCCCGTAATCGATGTGGTCGTCATGCGTGTTCACCCAGTGCCGAACGGAATTCTCTCGTTCGATCCTCAGGCCCTCCGCAACCCCTCTCGTGGTGACGATGGCGCCGGCCTTGTTGAGTGGATGCAACATGGCCAAAAAACTGGCACCCGGGTTTGCTTTCCTTGTGGCTTCCACCGCCTCGGGTTTGACGCCGTGCGGGGTGTACAAGATCGCTTCGCTCTTCCCATCGTTGGTGGGAATGCCGATTACCACGGCATGGCACAGTCTTGTCCTGTCGCCCTCGCTCTGGAGCCGGAAGATCGACAACGACCCGGGCATGTCGGGCGTGGCCGGCCACTCTTCACCGCGGACGAAATCCGGCACGATCGTGATGTTTCCGAAATGACCCATCGCCGACATCGTCGCCGCCGCGTCCTCCACGGCGAGGACGCGGACAGATTGGCCGAGGGTCCGCAGCGTCGGCTCGTGCAGGTGGTCGAGATTGGTGTGCGTGACAAGAACTGCATCGAGCCACCGCCCGTGCTCTGCGTCCGTGGTCCCGCAAGCTGTTTCCACCTCCTGGATCCAGTCTTCGATGGCCCCAATGCTGCCGAGCGCCGGTTTCTCCTTGAGCCGCAGGCGGATGATCCAGCCGGAAGCGAGATCAGCATGTCCCCCGAGCCAAGGATCCACAAGAACGTGGCAGAAAGCCTTGCCCTTCGTCCCGGCGGGCCGGGGGACGGAAAGGAGCCACGTGTTGTCGCCGTTCACGAGGGTCAATATCGGCCTCTGCGGCGACGTTTGCGCCGACGCAAGCGTTTCGATAAGTCTTGCTCGGTCCATGACGAGTGCGCAGTATCTTGTCGCTGTCTGCAGGTTGTTTGTCGCGGCCCAAGATGGTCCGTTGTGAGGGGACAAACGCTTTTCTTCTTAAAAGGCGGGGAGGCGGCACCTTCGGTACACAGCCGGGAGGCTGGGGCAAAGTACATTTTCATACTCAAAGCCTACCGTGGGATTTGCAGAACCCCCCACACCGTCACGGCTGATGATAGGCAGCCGTGGTCGTGACACCGCTGATCAAGAAGGAGCAGGAGTCTTAGTGCTGACATGACGGCGGTCTGACTCGGCCTAGCGCCTTGCCACGAGATAAAGAATGCGGGGTGTTCAGCAGAATGGCATCAAGCCCTCTCTGCGGCTGTTTGCGAGCCAGAATGCAGTGATTCTTGGCAGAAGAGCCAATACAAGTTGGACACCAGTCCACCTCTTACTGGTCCGGTCGGAATTGCAGTTCAGAGCATCACCAACTTCATCGGAAAGAGAACGATGTAATGCTCGTCTCACTCGACTATAGGGTTCCGGTGATCAATCTATGTGTAACGCGTGCTGATGGGTCGGAACAGGTCACGGTACTCGTCTGCCTTCGTTGACGATTCACTTTCCTTGGCAATTTGGACCTCTTCCAAGCTACTTCTCTTAAACGGAATGGGTAAGGCCTTAGTGTCGCTACGAATAGGTTGAAGGGATATGATTAGTACGTGAGAGATTGGCTCAAGCCATGCTTGGATTAGTTGCCTTGCAGTTCCTTGGCTCCTGTCGCAAGGTGATTTAAGCCACAATTGCTCCCAAAAGCTTTTGTAGGGGACCGCACATAACACACAAGTATAGAGGGTCTGGAGATGGCATGAACTCTTAATTCTTTTGCTGCCCTCGCTCATGAGAATTCAATTTGCGATTTTGGCGCCTCTGTGGTGTTCAAGGTCATTACTTGCAACTAGAATGACTCTTCCTGTTGGTCGCTGCCTCGATTTGGTCGAGGAGAGCAGTGCGATCAGTGCCGAGACCCCGGAGGGGGGGGGACTTGATGCAGTTGCCAAGCTTACAAAGGTGGCAGTGAACGTTGCTTCTAGTTCATCAAACTCTGATTTACAAGATATTAGGCAGTGTCAGCCCATTGTGCTCACGAACAGATATGGGTAAGCGGGGGTTTGTCCGGCCCTTTTGGACTTACATTTTTGAGTGTGCGACCGACGTGACGCACTCGCGACATACATAGGTAGGCACAGTCCAATTGTGCCAGGTATGTAGTTACGGCGTGGCGTGACTACCGTCGATTCTCGTAACGCTAAAGTCGAGTACGACCTCACCTGAAACTCTTGGCTTTCGACTCGATCGCCAATCGTAGATAAG